TCCTCCATTATCTTGTTGCCAAAGAAATAAAAAATCCTACCCCTCTTCCAAGCCAGCACTACACTTAAACTATTACATGCCACGTGTCCTCACCATTCCACAACTCAACGCCACAATCAACCGTTCAACAAAACGCCAACACTACATAGCCTTCATATCAACGGTCCAGATCACTCGAAGTACACGTGGTAACACACCGTTTCAAAAGGGTCATACAAATTAGGGCTTGTTGCGATTATATATAATCCCACCTCCCCACATTTTCACTCTGTTTCTCCATAGCTACAGAGCTTTATTTTCTTTTCTTCTTCGATTTTAGATTGAAACATGGGCAAGGGACCTGGACTTTACTCCGATATCGGCAAGAGGGCCCGAGGTTCGTTTCTATTTCCTCCTCTTTGCTTTATCCTCTTATGAAAATTTTACAGTCAAGTGGATCTAGAATTTGGAATTAGTTTGCACACATTTTCTGTGTGTGTATAGTTCGAGTTGGAGATAATTGGTTGAGAGGCCGATCTGGAATTTGAAACTAGTGGTTGTACATTTTAATATATATATATATATATGTGTGTATATACACACACACATATATATATATATTAAAATGTACAACCACTAGTTTCATATATATATATATATATATATATATATATATATATATATATATATATATATACATANAGAATATGCAACCAGTGAGTGTGTGTTTTAATATGTATAGGTATCTCTAAATATTTTGATGAAGTTTTTACATATATGTTAGTATGATTGGGTGCAAGTTTCAGGTATGTAGGTATATACATGTCCTAGGTAGTGGCAGTTGTATATAGTTTTTTTAATTAAGTTTTTCTGCTCGATAAATGAAATGCTGTATTGATTTCATTTATTTGGTTTGTGATTTGTTGTTTCTTTTGGTGATGTTGTCTTTGTGTATTGTGTTGAACAGATCTTCTGTACAGGGACTACCAGACTGACCACAAATTCGCAATTACTACCTACTCACCTACTGGAGTTGTGAGTTTTCTCTTTAGTTTGATGAGGATCTGTTCTTTATCCTGATTCAACTAGAGTTCTTTTCTATATATCCGTATGTTATTGTGTGATTCATCACATTGGACAGCGGCTGTTCAATGATAGGAAAATTTGACTCTGTTGATTTTCTTTCTGTGTATTAACTAAATATAAATTCGCTGACATTTACTTTTTTTTTTTCATGAGTGAATTCACATAGACACCTGTATCCATGTATGGTTTTGAATTATTCACCGACATGCAGTATAATATTCGACATTACGGAGCATTGTTTTCTACATATTGTCCGTATTGTAGGTGTTTGTTGTCATTATTGGTTTCCATGTTGATAGTATTTGCATTAGTTATGTGGTAATTGATGTTTATACTGAATTCAATTCCAAATTCAGTTGTGGACAACAATAAGCGTATTACAATACTTGTATTAGAGCATATCATGTTTAAAAAGTCGTTTAGACTGTTACTTTTAGCTAACCAACTCTTGCTCTCATTTGTTTCAACTAGCCTTTGTATACCGGTTTTCGAATTATAAAGAAAATTTTAAAATATTAAATTTTGTCTTGAAATTATTCTTTATTTGAGATAATTTAAATTGATGATTTTAAATATTACTAGTTATTTTTAATCACATAGAGAAACCATATTGAATTAATGGACATGCCAATGAAACAAACTTCTGTCCAATTTAACAATAAACATCATCTCCCCACACTATAATTCGTGTGTAACTTCCTGCGAACCAAAGGATAACGTGGATGATTAATGTGTAGAAATTCAAAGCACTTTTTTCTGTTCTCATAGTTACTCGAGTAGTGATATCTTATCTGATACACTTGCTATCTTTTGTGCTTGCTGAACTTTGGAATTTTGGTGTTTTCTCATCCTATGTCCTGATATGAAGGAAATGATAGTAACCTCTAGCTTCAAGCTGATTGCTACCGTCCATTTTGCAACAAAACCGTGCTTTAGTTTGATTCTAGTTGCAAATTTCTCGTGCACTAGTGCTTATAAACTCACTGAAATATGTGGAGATATTTATCTGTGTACTTTGTTATCCTATTTTCTTACAATTTGTTCTGCAACTTAAACCTCTTCATCTTTTGTAGGCTATTACATCATCAGGACTGAAGAAAGGTGATCTGTTTCTGGCTGATGTTAACACTCAATTGAAGAACAAGAATGTTACAACAGATATAAAAGTAGACACAAACTCAAATGTGAGCACTTCTGCTTACTCCCTTTTAAGTTGATATATATGCCTCTTACTGTTGTGGTCTGTTCTTCTAGTCTTGGTCTTGGGACAATCGTTTTTACTGACAATGATCCTTGTACATCTGGCCTTTAGCTATGAGTCAACAAGTGCCTTCAACAACCCAAACAGAGACAGATACTGCAAGCGTTAAAAACTTTCTTTGATCAATTATAGATTGGTTTTCTAATGTATATACCACGAATTTATTTGTCTTTTTCTTCTTGAGATATCTGCCATCACACATATCGTAATCTGACTTGATTTTGTCTTCAACGCTAGCTTTTGGCAACTGTTACGGTTGATGAAGCTGCCCCTGGGTTGAAAACAATTCTTAGCTTCAGAATTCCTGATCATAGTTCTGCAAAGGTAAACAGCTATTTCCTTTAAGCTCTGTTTGCTATCAAATGTTATGATAGAAATAAGAAAGAGTCGATTTGTATTGCTGCTGCTTATTTTGTTATTTGTTTTGGTCGTGACAGCTGGAAGTTCAATATTTGCATGACTATGCTGGGATTAGCACCAGTCTTGGGTTGACAGCTAACCCCATTGTCAACTTCTCTGGTGTTGTGGGAACTAATCTGCTCTCTCTGGGAACTGATGTATCCTTTGACACCAAGGTCGGAGCTATCACCAAGTGTAATGCAGGCTTGAGCTTCACAAATACCGACCTCATTGCTTCTTTGAATCTGTGAGTAGTTTTTGCTAATGTAGGATATCTCTCTTGAGAATTGACTGTATATTTCTCAAGTTGGGTGTATTTAACATGTCAACCTGGTCTCTATGCTCTGCTCGAGCATTTAAGATGTGTTACAAATTTGTAATTCAGTGCTGATTGGCTTACTTTTCCATATGTTTTTGTATTAGGAATGACAAGGGAGACTCTTTGAGTGCATCATACTACCACATAGTCAGTCCCCTGACCATGACTGCTGTTGGCGCTGAGGTGACACATAGCTTCTCTACCAACGAGAACACCATCACTGTCGGAACTCAGCATCAATTGGATCCTTTGACCACTGTGAAGGCAAGGGTTAACAACCTTGGCAAGGCAAATGCTCTGATCCAACATGAGTGGCGTCCAAAGTCACTCTTCACCATCTCAGGAGAAGTGGACACCAAAGCTGTTGACAAAAGTGCCAAGTTTGGACTGGCCTTGGCTCTCAAGCCATAGGACAATGACCTATAGACACGGGGTTCTAGTTAGAAGACTTGTTTGTGGCAATTTATTTGGTGGTTCTGGACTGTAAAAATAATTCTAGGGTGGTTGCTTCAACCAACGTCTTGTCATTTTGAGTTCGTACATTCTTATTCCCCCTTTTTTGAAACTGATGATGGGTGTCCCTTATCCCTAAACACTTGAGAGGTTTCTGCTCGAGATTTTAGTCCAATTAAAAGCATCAATTTTTGAAGATCATCATCCATGTCATTTTTTTCTTGCTTGAGAATTTCTGAGGCTATATTGTTATCCATTGGATTGGTATGCCTCCATCTCTTTAATGTTGTAGTTGGAATGGGAAAATCTAGCTAGTCTACCTGACCTTATAGCGGTGATATCTCGGTTTCCTATATGAATTGACTTCTGAAATGTATGTTAAGGTGTGATGCCTTGAGTTAGGGACGGCTTATTCTTTTCGCTACTCCTGCAATTTTTGTTGTTTCTCAATTCTCATTAGCTAGCCTGTTTAAAGAGATTTTTAGGCTTACTGAGGTTTGCAGATGGAATGAACGGTCTAAGGGTTTGAGAAATATATTGAGCATCTCACGGAGGAGCCGAACTCTTTCTGTGAATAAAGAAAATACAAAATTGATCTTCATTAATTCTTATGCCAACACCCAATTCTTGTGAAAACAGCAAATTATTAGTAGGAATACCACTTGAATATTGATCATCATCATTTCTTCTCCCAACACCTAATTCTTGTGAAAACAGCAAATTATTAGAGTACCACTTCAAGCGTCATTCATTAGGTTGCACTACGCAAATGGAGAGGCCTCCTCTCCTTCTCACTACATTGGAAAAGCCAAATCTTTCTGGGAAATATGTCGTGTTCAATTTACTCTGACAAGATTTAACTTTTAATTTATTCAAATAGCTAATTTGTTCTTTTGTTGGAGGGATCGAACCTAGACATGATAAAAGCATGATCATTACTGTACTTATCTCCTCACTCAAGCTTCAACAAACTTCCTCTCTTGCTTTGCTTATATATTGCCACAAAATATACAGATCAGAATTCCAACGCTTGGGAAGAAAGAATGAAACAGAAGCTATAAGGATTATTGATTGTGCTTGAATTGGTTAACTCAATCATTACAAGAAATAAATTAGAAAAAATATAAGAATAAATAAGAAGAGGAGCCAAGTGCTACAAAAAGAACTCTGTTCGATTTTTTAGCCTACTTATAAGAGAGGAGATTATGTGAAAAATGTAACCATCTTTCGTTTCGAATTTATTTCAAGAATATGCTGGACCAACCAGTTGTATCCTCTTTCGTTATAACTAGGAAATAAAGGTGTCGTAAATTACTTCTAAATAAATTAAGAAGTTATATGTAAGAACCATGGAATAGTTGAAAGTTAGATGTCTGCCAAAACAAAGGCGAAAAATGTACAATACAAAATAAGAAGGAAGGCGGAATAGGAGGGAACTTTTGGGTAATTCAATTACTAGCAGCTAATATAGGCTAGGTAAATGATATATTTACTCTCCGTAAGGAAATACCTAAAAATGCCTAGAGACACATCTTATAGCAATATAATCAACTGCAAAACTTCGTTTGTCAGCATAGTTGATAAACAACCTATAAACCAGATGGTAAAACCAAAGGGGGCATGTATCAATCTATGGATTCTATAAGCACGAACACACGTAAAGCAACCGTATCAACACTGAACTAAAGGCAACAAATCACACATGACTATCAATTATCCTTAAGTCTTTTTTAAACTAATGCTGAATACTTTCAGCCTGAAGAAGACCCTCGCGGATTTGAGAAGCAACGTCTTTGACCGCACCTGGTCCATGGGGAATAAACACAGCAGATGACTTGGAAGTAGCTCCAATCTCCTTCATCGTATCAAAATATTGAGTAACAAGAACCATGTCCATCACATCTTTCGCTGTTGTTCCAGGCACGTTCTCTGAGAAAGCAAGCACACTGTCTCGAAGACCATCCACAATGGCTTGACGCTGTCGAGCAATGCCAAGCCCTGATAAATACTTGGATTCAGCTTCTCCTTCAGCTCTCTTGATCTGCAATATTTTCTCTGCTTCGGCCTTCTCATTCGCAGCAACACGTAGTCTTGCAGCTGTTTTCACCAGCAAAGGTGTATCAGAACAATCACATGCACCACTAGGCAATAGATAACAAAAAAATAGTTAAGATTTCTGAAAAGAATATCGCATGCAGTCATTGTCTAGGCAAAGCAACCACCTTTCGTGAAAAAGGAACAAGAAACAAGAAGAACATGATTAGCTCAATGTTGTCGCAAGCACTTAAAATTTAGATATCCAATTGACGAACAAATTATCTTCAGATGTAATTCGCCCTTACCAGCATTAATCTCATTCATTGCCCTCTTGACATGGGGATCTGGCTCTATATCCACAATGAGGGTCTGCACAATCTCATACCCATAAGCAGACATAGCCTGCAATTTTTAAGGAAAAAGGAAAAGAATTTTAGCATAATTAAAATGAAAAGAGAGCGAAACAGTGAATTGGTCTTTAAGGCAAGAATCATATAACCTTTTCAAGTTCTTCCTCTACCGCTTTAGCAATTTCGTTCTTCTGCTCAAATGCAGCATCCAACCCCAATCGTGGCACACTGGCCCNAAGCCTGTAAAGATGCGTCGATAGATTAGGTTAAGCAAAAAGACAGCTTGCCAATCACTACACAGATTTCCACCCCATTGTTCTCCAAGTCTATGACACTTTTTCAACCCCCTCCCTCTTTTCCGCCCTTTCGTACTTCTTATGTTGCGGGTAGATTATGAAGGGAAAAAATGAAGTCAAGCTTATACTACTTCGTCCACAAGCTCCTCATCTTTCCATGGCAACAATTACAGAACATAGATCTCAAAACATACCATCAAAAACATAGGACTGGATCTGTCCTTTGGTGTTAGAGAGCTTGTAAAATGCATCAGCTGCATTTTCTGCTAACGCTCTGTACTGAATGGATGCTACAACAGTCACAAAAACATTGTCCTGGAACAACGAGAGCAATGCTTAGTCTTGTGATGATCAAACTGGTAAGATGCAGAAAGGAGACATTCACTAGAACTAAAAGGATACAAGGTTCAGGGGAAGGAGAAACTAATATAACCTCACAAAAGGACAAAAATTAGATCAAGATTTTTTCTGTTGGGATTTGGTGATAGATCCATGAACACAATTTTCAAATAGGAAGACCATCAATGAGTTTTAACTGTCATAAAAAGCAATAAATCAGAACGAGTTAGATATTCGAAATAGTGCAATGCAGAAGTACCTTTGTTTTTGTCTCACATCGAACATCAAGCTGCTGTACTCGCAATGAGAGATAACCAGGGACCTGATACCCAAGACACCAAGGCAAGCAGTGACACCCTGGCTCCAGCACTTCATCAAACTTACCGAAGTGTTCTTTCACAGCAACAGTTGACTGATCTACTTGAATGCAACCGAGCGCTTGACCCATAGTTCAAATCTACAAGCATCATGTTAATAAGCGTGAATTGCAAATTAGAAACTACAAATTATCAAGTTGCACATACATAATATATTACTTAAAATTCAACGTCTTCATTTAGTTATCATATATAATCTAACATTTCTGAACGCTGATCGTTAGTTACAAGTCAAAGAAAAAGTTACATGTGGAAGAATCTTATAACAAAAACAGTTAATCAACACAAAAAATTAGCATCTTATTGACGTGTTCCAGAAGAAAAACTAGTCAATTACTTCTTCTTTTATGACGGTGGTGTCTAGGCTAGCTTGCTAGTACAATTGATAATTGAAAAGGTTTAATAGTAGGATTATGCTCAAACTTAGGAATGTTCGACGAAATCAGTTAGAGTTCTCAAACAAATACCTCAAGCATGCAAAGATTTCAGCAAGGCAGGTTCAGGATTTTACAGTTCGAGTTGAGAATTCTACCACAACCCATTTGATTTACTAGATTCGAAATCTATTATTTGTATTTATTAAGTGAATTTTTTAACACATCAAGGGTTTGAGCCAAATCACCGGGTTCTGATGAACACATAACTAAAACAATATCCGCCCCTGGGTTTCATGACACCAAAAGGCAATTACGTGCAAAATTCGAATTAACTTAATCACCTACATAAACATAAAACAGAAAATGCAGGACACAATGAAAGCTATGACAGATCAAGGAAATTCATCAGAAATGAAGTATCAGTAAACTGACCATGCAGACATCCCAAAAGTTTATCCACCTATCAGCATAAAAAGCCGCCTGAAAATCGAAATAATCTAACTCACTCGAGAAAACCTAGTTCTCAAAATTGTATGAACTAACACCAATCACAAATATATCAAACGAAATTGACGTAAGTGCATACACTTAGAAAAGAATCACGCATACACTGTCAAAATACTTTGACAAACCTCAACTCTTAACCAAAAGCCTCAATTCCTCACAGGATGATCAAATAAAACATCCGAACTACAAACACAACGAAAATTCTTCACATACATGCAAAACTATATAATCACACACATACACCATCAAGTACCTGGAAATAACTTCAAATTTTTAATCACAAACCTCAATTCATCACAGATCATCAAATAAAATAGCCGAAATTCAAGCACACGATAAATTCTTCGCTTAAATGCAAAAACTACACATATTTAGGTCGGTTAAAGGAAAAAACCTGTGAAGTGTTCAAATGCGAGAAGAAGCAAAAAGCTAAAGAGAAAAACCTAGTTTTTAAAATTGTATGAACTAACAACAATTCATAATATATCAAACAAAATTGATATAAGCGCATACACGGGATCACACATATACACTGTCAAATATTTTGAAAAACCTCAAATTCTTAACCACAAACCTCATTTCACCGCAGAATTAAACAAATAAAAAACAGTCAAAATTCAAACACGATGATAAATTAACGCCCCCTGAAATTCGAATTATTCAAATTCACAAGATAGAACCTAGTTCTAAGAAATTGTACGAACTAAGAACAATTCACAATATTTAAAGCGAACTCGATCTAAGAGCAAACGCTTATATTAAGAATCACACGTGTATACAGTTAAAATCCTCCGAATAACCTCATTTCACCAAAGAATTATCAAATAAAATAGCCAAACTTCAAACACAAAGAAAACTTAACGCCGCCAGAAATTCGAATTATTCAAATTCACAAGAAAAAACCTAGTTCTCGAAATTGTACGAACTAACAACAATTCACACTATATTAAACGAAAATCAATATAATAAGCGCATATGTTAATATAAGAATCACACGCATACACCGTCAAAATCCTCCGAATAACCTCAATGCATCACAAAATCGTCAAAAAATATAGCGGAAATTCAAACTCTTTGCATACGTACATGCAAAAATACACATATTTAGGTCAGTTACCTGTGAAGTGAGCAAAAGCGTGAAGAAGGAAAGGCTAAAGAGTAACAATTTCTTGCTCAAGAAGATAAACAGAGACTACATACAGCTATATATAATTTTTTTAAGAAAAAAGAAATGCTGAAATCAGAAATGATTCTGAAAAATGGTAGCCCTCAAACGGTTTTTGCGTGACTCGTGTCCTGAGTCCTGACCCGCGGTTTTATTGTTTTCTTGCTCCTTTGGTTTTTATCCAACTTTGGATGAGGCCCGCTATAGTTAAAAGTAGGAAATTTTAACTCCAATATCAAAGTTATAAATCAAAAGCATTTTTAAAATATTATTTTCTATAGCTATATTTTATTTTTTATAACAAAATAGGTATTTATGGTATACACTACCATTAAAGCATTAAATAAGTTATGTATCATTTTTCTCTTTCATTCTTTCGGTTATTTTCTCCCAAAATTACAGCAAAATATTTCTTTTTTCTCTCTCTACGATCTCTCTCTCACAGTCACAACAAGATTGTATTCACGACTTTTGAAGCACGATTCTCTCTCTCTCACTTTCAACATTTTTTCTCAAAAAATTCGTGATAAGTGTTAAAGTTTTTGGATTTTTGGTCGGTTCAAGCTTCTTCTTTTTCTCTTCGCTTTTTTTTTAAAATCTTCACCATTGTTAGGTTTTCAGCAGAAAACTTTAAATTTCCTCTTCAATGGCTGATTCAACAACTTTAAAACAAGAGGGCCACTACGGCTTTTTTCTATGCCGGATATTGCAATGGATTCCTCTACACGGATACTGCAATATTTTTTTACGCCAGAGAAGATTCGAGGGCCGAGGTTTTTGTTCGTATCCATTTTTAGTTTTAATACAATGTATACAATATTTTGTTTGACCGGAAAACGCCATCTCCGGCGAACTTTCTTCTCTTCTTTGCTATTTAGTCATATATAATGATACAAATACACTGTATTTTGTACAAATTCACTCAAATATATTATATTTTTGCATAAATATATTTTTTTGCTTGTATTTATGTATTTCGAAGAATTGTGTTTTTTCAATATAACTGAATACATCTGTATTCATGCATGAATGCATGATATAAACATTGAAATACACTGAATACAAATATTAAAATAGAACAAATATAAACAGTGAATATATTTAATTTTAAAATACAGTGAAATACAGTAAAATACACTGAATACAAATAGAAATATAGTGAATACAACCAATGAAATATACTGAATACATCAATAATAACATGTATTAGGAATAATTAAAATATTGTTAATACAAATATATTTGAATACACTGTATATAAAATAGCGAATACAATAAATACAAACATTGAATCTAATGAATGCAAAAGTAAAAAAAATTAAAACACACTAAATACAAAAGTTATAGAGTATATAACTGAAAAATCATTTTAATTAATTGAGTTGATAATGGGACATGTTAGAATTGATTTTGTTGAGTTATATTATGAGTGTATCACGCTAATTGACATTATTTTCGTTATTAGATAGTTGGACATACCTATTTTTAAGGTGATTGTCGTTACTGTATTCATGAATACATAGTGCGAATACATGTGAATACATGCGCGTACAACTGGATTGCCCCTAATTTTAGGCCCTTTTTGTTGCAGTATTCATGAATACACCATCGCGAATACATGTGAATACATGCACGTACAGCTGGACTGCCCTGATTTTAGGCGCTTTTTGCTGCTGTATTCATGGATACATGGTGCGAATACATGTGAATACATGCGCGTACAACTGGATTGCCCCTAATTTTAGGCCCTTTTTGTTGCAGTATTCATGAATACACCATCGCGAATACATGTGAATACATGCACGTACAGCTGGACTGCCCTGATTTTAGGCGCTTTTTGCTGCTGTATTCATGGATACATGGCGCGAATACATGTGAATACATGTGCGTACAGCTGGACTGCCCTGATTTTTAGGCGCTTTTTGCTGTTGTATTCATGAATACAGCAGCGCAAATACAGCGAATACACTACCGTAATAATTTAGTAGCTATAGAAAGTAATTATGTATATGGCAGCTATAGGAAGTTAATAGCCACTAAACAATAGTGGTTTCTGAAAATTCAATTTTAGCCTGCTTTGCGGTCCCAGCAGTAAAAAAAATTAAATTTACCACTCTCCTTACGAGGCCGAAACAAAAGTGTTGTCTATTTGGACTCAAACGACAAAAATAGGCAAAAAAAATAACTGAGTACAATTTTATATATAACGCATTTCTTCAATGCGCTATACCTTAATGATACATTTGTCCGTTAAGATATAGCGCATGACTTACATGCGCTAAATTTGAATTTTAAATTGGCGAAAAAAATATATATAGCGCATCCTATATATGTGCTATACCTATATAAAATATCGGGCCTGTCTCCTTCCCCGACAACACAGAAGCAGAAGGTGAAAAACGCC